AAGCATTGTGGGCTATGAAAGCATTTCTCACTTGGGGCCCAATCTGTAATTTCACATAAGAAAAAATTCTCTTTCCACTCTAAGTCAAATGATTTTTTTTTTTAAAGACAGGGTCTTACTCCTGTAGCCCAGGCTGGAGTGCAGTGGTGCAATCATGACTCACTACAGCCTCAGTGTCCCAGGCTCAGCTGATTCTGCCACCTCAGCCTCCTGAGTATGTGGGACTACAGGCATGTGCCACTATATCTGTCTAACTGTGTTTTAAGTAGAGGCAGGGTTTTGCCATGTTGCCCAGGCTGGTCTCTAACTCCTGCTCTAAAGCAATTTGTCTGCCCCAGCCTCAAATGATTTTTTCTTTAATCTCCCAAGAGTTTCTGATGGCTGGATGCTCAGGCCTGATTAGCATGGAGACTTACTGCTCCTGAAGTTTGCTGGAAGGAGAATCTGGAGCCTCACAAATTGGGTTGCTAATGTCATTCTCCACATTCTAGAGGCGGTTGCTGACTTATGTGCAAATACACCTGGCCTGGGCTTTGGTACAATCTATCATTCCTCCATGGGAGACTATTTACATGGAAGGTAGTTATGTTAAATTCAGCTTTGAAATAAAGAAATCTCATGCTACTCTCTTCTGGTGGCCCCATCAGAAGTTTATTATGGCAGAGAACACGAGCTCTGCTGCAAAAGTCCTCAGTTTGCTTGCTCACTTTCTGTTTCTCAGTCTCTCTCTCCGTCTCTCTCTTTCTCTCAAGTAATAAAAAATGATTAATGGAGTAAGCTTAGTTTAGATGAATTCTATGCAAAGTTATTTCACATCAAATGAATTTTTTTCCATGATACTATATTTCCATCTCTGCTTTATCATTGCCTTTTTGTTTGAATTAATGCAATAATATTACCAAAGTCATCCTCCATTGCACTACCGTTTGCTTTCACATTCAAGGCAACGACGTCATTTCCAGATGAAACTATTTGTCCTTGTTAGAACAGACAAGGCAGTTGGTACATTCAGACTCAATTACTAAGTTGCATGATTGATTCTGAGATAGAGCTGAGAGCAAAGGCAAATGAAACTTGTCATTAACTGTGCAGTATGTTTTTCTTCTGCTAGATCTGTTGGGAGAAAGATTCACATAACTGGATCTAAGAGGGAAGTGAATGGGAGTTAGCTCAGATCAGTTCCCAGGAAACAGACTCGAAGACAGAGTTTAGGATGCCAGATGTTTATTAAGGAGTGCCCTTAAATCAATACCTGGGGAAGAGAGAGAGAGGAAGCAGGAGTGGGCTGAGAGAGAAGGTGAGCTGGATGTAGGCCCAGTGATGGACCCTACGGACTCAGTGAGGAGCTCTGAAGCTAGAAGAACACTTTAGTATTGTGCTGATGAGCCAAGATGGCCAGACCTTGTACCACTTTACTGATCAGTTATTGGTGCGAACTGTCCTGGGCAGGGGCATGATTCCGGGTGAGGTGGCTTTTTATAGTTGAGGCAGTCCTTGAAAAGGATGGTGGTTGAAGGCTATCTGCTGGGTTCTAGCTCCTAGACTCCAGGTCAGTGATTTTCAACCAGGGGACATTTGACAATGTCTAGAAATATTTCTGATTAGCACAACTAGCGGGATGCTACCGACATCTAGCTGGTAGCATCCGGGGTGCTACTAAACTTCCCGCAATTCACATAGCCTCCAAGAACAAATGATTATCTGGTCCAAAATATCAATAGTGCTCAGGCTGGGAAGCTCTGCGCTGGAACAATACGTTCCTCTTTGAAACAGAACCTGGTGGGCATCATAGCATCCATGCCAGGAGTCATCATTAATCAAGGTATTACTACTTCTCAGACAAAATGCTTATGTTCTTTCTTTCTCTAACTCCTCCTACAAATCCTTTGAGGCAGGACTCGGAGTTTCCACTTACTAAAGAAAAAACAGTGCTCAGACTAGTTCAGTAAACTGCCCCACATTATGAATTGGAAGGACACCAAGGTGGGATTTAAAGTGGGCCATCTTGTTGAAAACATTTTGCTATCTTCTGGCTTTCCCTTTGAAAGAGTTCAGAACACACAACCCCAAAATATGCCCCTCTGGCACATTGACTATTTTGAGTCAAAGGCACTTGAAAAAGAGCAGGTGCAAGAAGAACACTCTTGCAGTCCTTTTTAAAAGCAGAAGATACAATTTCCATGTGAAATATATCCTCCCTGTACTAGAAGGAAAGTGTCATTCTTATCATCAAGGATGGGAAATTGAGGCTGACGGAGATCTGTACAAATACACCTTGTTAAACTCTTATCTTTCTTGTCACTTTACCCAATTAACTGCCCTAGCCCAAGCCCTTTAGCTTGTTACATCTTCATAATCTACTACTCTTTGTCCAAGTTAGTATATAAGTGTTCAACTCTAACTGCATCTTTGAGTCCTCATTTTCTTATGAAGCCTCCAATGCCACGTAAAACTTGAATTAAATTTCTATGTTTTTTTGTCCTGTTGATATGTCTTGTGTCAATTTAATTATCAGCCACAACTGAAGAACTCTAAGAAGGTAGAGGTGAAATCTTGCCTTTCTTACACCTTGATGACTCCATGCGGCAGTTCTCAAACATTTTTTTTCTCTCCAAATGTGAGATACATGATGCTCACATGTTCACTTTGCTCCCGTGGAATTCCTGGGGCTCAAGTTGTAAACTTACTATTATCCCACTTAAAAGGTACATTGGAACATGAGTGGCATGGCACAAATATAGGGATGACCCTGAATCCTCCCCAATTTATATTTTTAGTAGACTATTCCTGAACTCGGAGTCCTTCCCAACAGTAACATGTATCTTACGGTAAGCTTGCAGTTGATTTCCGTATGGAGAGTAACGCCTATTGGTAGTCTTGGTGAATGCCTGTAAAGAGACTACAACACTTTCGGAATTTGTGTTATGCTGTTGCTTCATTATCTGTATCACGGAATGATTAAGTCATTCAAGAACATTCTGCAGATGTTACTGGCACCTTAAGAACCCTTGGAATCCAAGTATTGACTCATAAATTTGATTTAAAAAGAGCATCTACTATGTTCCAGAAACTGTTCTACCTTCTCATTATGAACAGTAGAATTTACTATTAATTGTAAACGCTTCCACAGGAGCAGAGAAAAGCAGATATCATTTTACAGGCATATAGTTGAGATTAACAAAGCCAATTTCTACTCTCTCTGAAACAAAATCACATGAATTTTGACCTTTTTAACAGGGCATCATGCAAAGGAAATGAACAAACATAGACTATGTAATAGTGTTAACAGAAATAAAGGGCAATACACATTTAACCAAAAGATATAAACAAAAAGGACTTAGCTATTTTATTATTATTGACCTCAGTAATAATGTTGGCTATTATGGTCCATAGCAGCTGTAGTTTTTAGATTCCAACATAGTGCCAGTAATTAAAAAAAAATGTCATTAATTCCAACAGCACCTTTCTTTTTTTCTTTTTTCACTTTTTGTAGATTTAGGGGTAAAAGTGCACTTTTGTTACATGAATATGTTGTGTAATGGTGAAGTCTAGGCTTTTAATGTGACCGTCACTCTAACAGTGTACACTGTACCCGTTAGGTAATTTATCTTCCCTTGCCCCTTTTCACCTTTCTGAGTCTTCAATGCATTATTCCACTCTCTATGTCCAGGTGTATGTCCATTTTTAGCTCCCACTAAAAATGACAACATGCGGTATTTGTCTTTCTGTGACTGAGCTGTTTTACTTAATAGCCTCTGGTTCCATCTGTGTGGCTGCAAAATTCATGATTTCATTCTTTTTTACGGCTGAGTAGTATTCCACCAACCATGTTTTCTTTATCCAATTCTCCATTGATGGACTTAGGTTGACTCTAAGTTAGGTTGACTCCATATTGTTACTATTGTCAATAGCACTGTGAATAAATGTAGGAATACAGGTTTTTTAAAAAATAATTTTTTTCCTTTGAGTAGATACCGAGCAGTGAGATTGTTGGATGGAATGGTAGTTCTAGTTCTAGTTCTCTGAGAAATTTTCATACTGTTTTCTGTAGAAGTTTTGCTAATTTACATTCCCACCAATAGCCCACAACACATTCTGTACAGTGGGCATGATCATCTTCATTTTACAATTGAAAAATACAGATCAGAAAGAGTAAAACAACTTGGTTGAATTATACAGAAATCCATTGGCAGGGAAAGCAGCCACACCCAGACCACTTTCTACAGCTAGAAAGCCTAATTTAGAGTAAATTACACATTTACATTTGTCAATTTGTTTTTTCTCAATCAAATTCTGTAAACACTGCTAAGAAAAATATGGTATAAGCAGTAGTGTGCTGGTAAATGTTTAAAGACTGGTTCTCAAAAGAGGGGTATGTGTTATATAAGCTTATTTTACATGTTACTGACATAAAAAATGTGTAGCACATAATTTACATATAATGATATCTGTAATACTCTTTATTATACATTCTAAATAGTTCATTGATTTTCACAGAATGCTTTTGTTGAATTTTACCTAAAATGTTTATCCATAACAGTTTGTTTTATTAACTGTCCCGTGTTATGGGTCATGAATGTTAGTTGATGTTTTCAGATTATAAGCCACTGATGTGACATCATGTACCATGAGGCTGGGAAGAGAGGCTTGTGTAGTATTTCACCATACACATATGTCAGACATACATAGGTAATAGTCAAATGTGCAAAGTAATTAGAAAGGGATGAGTTCCGACTATTGGGTATCTGTGTTTCGATGTCATTTATTTAAGATTCCTGAAAACTTAGCAGTTGGTTCTTGTGAGCTGATCTAACTGCTGATAGGGAACAGTTACCAATTAATCAAATGTTTCCATTTCCATTGTCCCCTACTCCAACTCATAGCTCTGAGTATGTAAGTAGAGGGCATCACATTATCAAGCACAACAGATGTTGAGATAGATGACGTTGAGTAGAGTTGTTTCTTTAATATTTATTGTTATTTTTGTGGTTTATTCACAGGCATTTCCCTGCATCTCAACAGGCATTTATGGTAAGTGATCTAGCTTTTCATGATGTTTGTATTTCTTTGTTGTTAAATGCGAAGGTTAAGTGAAAAAATAAGAGGCTCTCTGATGAATATATTTTGCTGTGATTTAAAGAGACTCAAAATGCTGGTCAAATCTCATTAAGGAATGTCAAGAGGCTATTCAGATTCTTTTGTGTTCTTGAATTTTGTTGTATTGAATATTACATGAAATGATTTGATACCTTGTGGCTTGATGTCTTTGGTTAAACAAAAAATTTGGTCTTAGTAGGATTGACCTCTAATATTGCTTTGTTTAATAAAATCAAATTTCTTCTCATTAAAAACTATAATGTATATAGAGCTTAGCAGTATCATTATTTTGTGGCTATTTATAAAATAATAGAAAAATTAAAATGCATACATATGCATATATTTGTATTTTCAAATTTTAAAAAGTCCAAAGAAGTGACTTTTAATAAATATGAAGAATTTTAATAAACTGCAAATTTTTTTTTAGCATAGTGATGGTTGGTTTAAGTAGTGAATGCTTCACTTACAGATGGCAGCAAAATGTTTTTTTTTTTTTTTTTTTCCCATTTATTTATTTTATTGCATTTTACATTTTGGGGTACATGTGAAGAACATGCAAAATTGTTGCATAGGAACACACGTGGCAGTGTGATTTGCTGCCTTCCTCCCCATCACCTACATCTGGCATTTCTCCCCTTGCTATCTCTCCCCAGCTTCCCACCCCCCACCATCCCTCCCCTATTTCCCCCAAACTGACCCCAGTGTGTAGTGCTCCCCTCCCTGTGTCCATGTGTTCTCATTGTTCAACACCCGCCTATGAGTGAGAACATGTGGTGTTTGATCTTCTGCTCTTCTGTCAGTTTGCTGAGAATGATGGTTTCCAGGTTCATCCATGTCCCTACAAAGGACCCAAACTCATCGTTTCTGATGGCTGCATAATATTCCATGGTGTATATGTGCCACATTTTCCCTATCCAGTCTATCGTCGATGGGCATTTGGGTTGGTTCCAGGTCTTTGCTATTGTAAACAGTGCTGCAATGAACATTCGTGTACATGTGTCCTTATAGTAGAACGATTTGTAATCCTTTGGATATATACCCAGTAATGGGATTGCTGGGTCAAATGGAATTTCTATTTCTAGGTCCTTGAGGAATCGCCACACTGTCTTCCACAATGGTTGCACTAATTTACACTCCCACCAACAGTGCAAAAGTGTTCCTATTTCTCCACATCCTCTCCAGCATCTGTTGTCTCCAGATTTTTTAATGATCGCCATTCTAACCGGCGTGAGATGGTATCTCAGTGTAGTTTTGATTTGCATTTCTCTGATGACCAGTGATGATGAGCATTTTTTCATATGTTTGTTGGCCTCACGTATGTCTTCTTTTGAGAAGTGTCTGTTCATATCCTTTGCCCACTTTTGAATGGGCTTGTTAGTTTTTTTCTTGTAAATCTGCTTTAGTTCTTTGTAAATTACGGATATCAGCCCTTTGTCATATGGGTAAACTGCAAAAATTTTTTCCCAATCGGTTGGTTGCCGATTCACTCTAATGATTGTTTCTTTTGCTGTGCAGAAGCTGTGGAGTTTGATTAGGTCCCATTTGTCTATTTTGGCTTTTGTTGTCAATGCTTTTGGTGTTTTAGTCATGAAGTCCTTGCCTACACCTACGTCCTGAATGGTTTTGCCTAGATTTTCTTCTAGGGTTTTTATGGTGTTAGGTCTTATGTTTAAGTCTTTAATCCATCTGGAGTTAATTTTAGTGTAAGGTGTCAGGAAGGGGTCCAGTTTCTGCTTTCTGCACATGGCTAGCCAGCTTTCCCAACACCATTTATTGAACAGGGAATCCTTTCCCCATTGCTTGTTTTTGACTGGTTTGTCAAAGATCAGATGGTTGTAGATATGTTGTGTTGCCTCCGAGACCTCTGTTCTGTTCCATTGGTCTATATCTCTGTTTTGGTAGCAGTACCATGCTGTTTTGATTACTGTAGCCTTGTAGTATAGTTTGAAGTCTGGTAGTGTGATGCCTCCCGCTTTGTTCTTTTTGCTTAGAATTGACTTGGCTATGCGGGCTCTCTTTTGGTTCCATATGAAGTTTAAGGTGGTTTTTTCCAGTTCTGCAAAGAAGGTCATTGGTAGCTTGATGGGGATAGCATTGAATCTGTAAATTACTTTGGGCAGTATGGCCATTTTCACGATATTGATTCTTCCTAACCATGAACATGGGATGTTTCTCCATCTGTTTGTGTCCTCTCTTATTTCGTTGAGCAGTGGCTTGTAGTTCTCCTTGAAGAGGTCCCTTACATTCCTTGTTAGTTGTATTCCTAGGTATTTTATTCTCTTTGTGGCAATTGTGAATGGAAGTTTGTTCTTGATTTGGCTCTCTTTAAGTCTGTTACTGGTGTATAGGAATGCATGTAATTTTTGCACATTGATTTTGTATCCTGAGACTTTGCTGAACTTGCTTATCAGTTTCAGGAGGTTTGGGGCTGAGACGATGGGGTCTTCTAGATATACAATCATGTCGTCTGCAAATAGAGACAATTTGACTTCCTCCTTTCTTATTTGAATGCCCTTTATTTCTTTTTCTTGCCTGATTGCTCTGGCTAGAACTTCTAATACTATATTGAATAGCAGTGGTGAGAGCGGGCATCCTTGTCTGGTGCCACATTTCAAGGGGAATGCTTCCAGTTTTTGCCCATTCAGTATGATATTGGCTGTTGGTTTGTCATAAATAGCTTTTATTATTTTGAGATACGTTCCATTGATACCTAGCTTACTGAGTGTTTTTAGCATAAAGGGCTGTTGAATTTTGTCAAAGGCCTTCTCTGCATCAATTGAGATAATCATGTGGTTTTTGTCTTTGGTTCTGTTTATGTGGTGAATTACGTTTATAGACTTGAGTATGTTGAACCAGCCTTGCATCCCCGGGATGAAGCCTACTTGATCATGGTGGATAAGCTTTTTGATGTGCTGTTGCAATCAGCTTGTCAGTATTTTATTGAAGATTTTTGCATCTATGTTCATCATGGATATTGGCCTGAAGTTTTCTTTTCTTGTTGAGTCTCTGCCGGGTTTTGGAATCAGGATGATGTTGGTCTCATAAAATGATTTGGGAAGAATTCCCTCTTTTTGTATTGTTTGGAATAGTTTCAGAAGAAATGGTACCAGCTCCTCTTTGTATGTCTGGTAGAATTCAGCTGTGAACCCATCTGGACCTGGGCTTTTTTTGGGTGGTAAGCTCTTAATTGCTGCCTCAACCTCAGACCTTGTTATGGGTCTGTTCAGGGTTTCGGCTTCTTCCTGGTTTAGGATTGGCAGGAGGCAAGTGTCCAGGAATTTATCCATTTCTTCCATGTTTATTAGTTTGTGCGCATAGAGTTGTTTGTAATAATCTCTGATGATGGTTTGAATTTCTGTGGAATCTGTGGTGATATCCCCTTTATCGTTTTTTATTGCATCAATTTGGTTATTCTCTCTTTTCTTTTTTATTAATCTGGCTAGTGGTCTGTCTATTTTGTTGATCTTTTCAAAAAACCAGCTCCTGGATTTATTGATTTTTTTGAAGGGTTTTTTATGTCTCTATCTCCTTCAGTTCTGCTCTGATCTTAGCTATTTCTTGTTTTCTGCTAGGCTTTGAGTTTTTTTGATCTTGCTCCTCTAGCTCTTTCAGTTTTGACGATAGGGTGTCAATTTCTTTATTTCTGCCTTCATTTCATTGTTTATCCAGTCAACATTCAAGAGCAAGTTGTTCAGTTTCCATGAAGCTGTGCGGTTCTGAGTTAGTTTTTGAATTCTGAGTTCTAACTTGATTGCACTGTGGTCTGAGAGACTGTTTGTTACGATTTCCGTTCTTTTGCATTTGCTGAGGAGTGATTTACTCCCAATTATGTGGTCAATTTTAGAGTAGGTGTGATGTGGTGCTGAGAAGAATGTATATTCTGTGGATTTTGGGTGGAGAGTTCTGTAAATGTCTATTAGGTTTGCTTGGTCCAGGTCTGAGTTCAAGTCCTGGATATCCTTGCTAATTTTCTGTCTGGTTGATCTGTCTAATGTTGACAATGGGGTGTTAAAGTCTCCCACTATTATTGTGTGGGAGTCTAAGTCCCTTTGTAAGTCATTAAGAACTTGCCTTATGTATCTGGGTGCTCCTGTATTGGGTGCGTATATATTTAGGATTGTTAGCTCTTCTTGTTGCATTGATCCTTTTACCATTATGTAATGTCCCTCTTTGTCTCTTATGATCTTTGTTGCTTTAAAGTCTAATTTATCAGAGATGAGAATTGCAACTCCTGCTTTTTTTTGCTCTCCATTTGCTTGGTAAATCTTCCTCCATCCCTTTATTTTGAGCCTTTGTGTATCCTTGCATGTGAGATGGGTTTCCTGGATACAGCACACCGATGGGTTTTGTCTTTTTATCCAATTTGTCAGTCTGTGTCTTTTGATTGGGGCATTTAGTCCATTTACATTTAGGGTTAATATTGTTATGTGTGAATTTGATACTGCCATTTTGGTGCTAGCTGGCTGTTTTGCCCTTTAGTTGAGCTGGTACTTGTTGTTCCTTTATATGTGTAGAGCCTCTTTCAGGAGCTCTTGTAGAGCTGGCCTGGTGGTGACGAAATCTCTGAGTACTTGCATGTTCCCAAAGGATTTTATTTTTCCTTCACTTATGAAGCTTAGTTTGGCTGGATAGGAGATTCTGGGTTGAAAGTTCTTTTCTTTAAGGATGTTGAATATTGGCCCCCATTCTCTTCTGGCTTGTAGGGTTTCTGCTGAGAGATCTGCTGTGAGTCTGATGGGCTTCCCTTTGTGGGTAACCCGACCTTTCTCTCTGGCTGCCCTTAGTATTTTCTCCTTCATTTCGACCCTGGTGAATCTGACGATGATGTGCCTTGGGGTTGCTCTTCTTGACGAATATCTTTGTGGTGTTCTCTGTATTTCCTGGACTTGAATGTTTGCCTGCCTTGCTAGGTTGGGGAAGTTTTCCTGGATAAA